TAATCTTCTGTTGTCACATTGCTTTCGATGTTCACTGTATTTGAGGTTTATACATGTTACAGATAACTATAGTTCATTGTCACTGTTATACGTGTATATCATTGTATGGTATACCACAATTAAATTACTTTATTCTGTCCATGCACATTATTTTCCAAACTTTTGGTTTGTTTTGCCATTACCAGCATTGATGCCCTGAAGATTTAATTCTTAAACATGTTTCTTGTACATGTTCAAGTGTACACGAAGGGTATTTACATAAGAGTGTCGATGATGAGTCCTAGAGTGTATATTCGAGTACTTCAACTTGATGAAATTGGTAAGAGCAATTTTACCAGTTTATACTCTTCCTTCCCCCAGTGATGAAGCGAAGTTCCAACTGTTCCACGTACTACACTTGGTATTGTCACTCTTTCTAATTTTTGCCAGTCTAATGGATATAAAACAGATTCTCATGAGACTTTAATTTGTGAGTTACTTGGTCTTGCTCATTTTGTTTAATTCCATAATTAACAACATTGTTTGAAAACATAACCATTTTACACATCAGTATTTTGTTTCTGAGTCCTTGAGGGCCTGAATTTGTTTCCAGTCTCTGCTGATCTTGTTTATGGTGAACTCATTGTTGGCTTATATTAATCATTGGGAACCCTGAAGGAGCAAGTTTGGGGATGCCTTTCTCCAGACAAGATCTGTATCAGCGCCTGCTAGGTGCTGTCAACCTGGTTTGGCTTTAATTTAATGTTTCTACTGCACTACCTGAAGCAGAACTACTTAGCATGCTTTTAAAATATAATCCTGAATGAGCATATGCTCTCTAGAACACAACTGAATGAACAGCAGCTATCAATTATTAAGCCAAAAATCTTAGCTCAGTGATTTTTGTACTTTGAGACTCTCATGGAGGCCATGCTTCTTCTATCCTGAAAAATAAATATGCATTCGTATACACATAATCCACACACGATGTCATGGGATTGCTTGTGCTTATCTTTAGATACAGAATGGCTTGATTAGAATCAAATCACAGTTGAGACAGGGTGAAAGAGAAGGGACAGCACTGACTTGGCAGTCAAGTAGATCTACGTTAAAATTCTGCCTTAATACCATCTCTGTCCTTGCAGGCATCCAAGTCCAAATCAAGGGCATAATCCTCGGTTCTTCCCTTCTTCTCACTGTAGTGCCCCTCATTTTCTTTCTGTCTTTCTTCTCTTTGTGGTATTACCATACATATATGCTCGCAGGTTACACTATTTGTAGTTGTCCCACAGTCCTTGTATCCTCTCTTCTGGGTGTGTTTTGTTTTGCTTTTTGTCTTTGTTCTCTTTGCTTTCCAGTTTGGTTGATTTCTGTTGATACATGCTCAAGTTCAGAGATTCTTTCCTTAGCCATGTCCAATCTAATAATAAGGCTATCAAAGGCATTCTTCATTTCTGTTATGGTGTTTTTAGTCCAGAGGGTTTCCATTTTTGCTTACAGTTCCATTTGTTCTTACATGCTGTCTATCCATTAGAGTCCTTAGCATATTAATCAAAGTTGTTTTAAACTCCTGGTCCGATAATTCCAATATCCTTGCCATGTCTGGTTCTTATGATTGTTCTGTATTTCAAACTGTGTTATTGTTGCCTGATTTTTAGTATGCTTTACATACTTTTTTCTTGATAGCCTGACATGATGTACCAGGTAAAAATGAATTATTGTAAATAGGCCTTTAGTAATGTGTTGATAAGTTGTGGGGGTAGGGGAAAGCATTCTATAGTCTTAAGATTAGCTCTCTTTTAGTGAGCCTGGGCCTCTGGACTGTGAATTCACAAGTGTTCCTCAGTCTTTTTCTTTCCCCTAAGGTGGGACAGGTAGCCTGGAGTCGAGTATTTCCCTTCTCTGATGTGGAAGGCTGGAGTTGGTTATTTCCCTACCTCCAGATCAGTTAGGCTCTAACAATACCTGAGCAGGTTATGCTCTGTTAACCAGTTTCTCCTGAGGGCAAGAACACAGTGCTTTGGTGGTGGCCGGATGGCTCAGTTGGTTAGAGAGCATGCTCTTAACAATAAGGTTGCCGGTTAGTTTCCTGCATGGGATGGTGGGCTGCAGCCCCCACAACTAATAGATTGAAAATGGCGACTGGACTTGGAGCTGAGCTGTGCCCTCCACAACTAGATTGAAACAACGACTTGACTTGGAGCTGATGGTTCCTGGAAAAACACACCATTCCCCAATAAAATTAAAAAAAAAAAAAGAACAGTGCTTTAAGCATATTTCAAATGGTTCCTTTGACTCTTCCCTTGACAGAAACACGAGGGGATTTTTTCCCCAATATTTACTGTCAGAATGTGGTTGAGCTCCTGGAGGTGAATCCCACAAGTGTGGAGGGTCCTGCTATGACTGGCACCCCTGGTGTTTTTAACTCTCAGCCTTGCTCACAATGAGCCTTTAGCGATTTGTCAATTCCAGTCAGATGTCCTACCCCAGCACTGGTTCCGGCACTGGTTTCCTCTCACAAGTCTGTCCAGTAAGTGATGACTCCCTGTATTCGCCTGTCTAGCTCTCCAGTCTTGGTGGTAGTGGTTTGCCCTGTGTCCTCACCTCTCTTATGGATCTAGGAAGAGTTGTTGATTTTTCAGTTTGTTTAATCTTTTGTTTGTCTTTTTTTTTACTTGTTAGGACAAGTGGCAACTTCCAAGTTTCTTACAAGTGGAACTGGAAACTAGAAGTCTAATCCCCTTATTTCTGATCATGCCCCAAGTCCTGCACTATTTATGCCCCTACCTGCTCTCCCATAAAAGCCCACCATCACCAGCACAGTGCCTCAGTCCATCACTGCACTTGCTATATTACCCTGAAATGGTCTCTTTGTCTACCTCCACGAATTAAGCCGTGAATCTGTGAGTGTAGAGGTTAGGTGTTCTACATGGTTTACCGGTGCTAAGCCTGGCATCCATTTCTACCCATTTCATGACCCACCCAATAGGGCAGGAGATGAAAGACATATGAATCTTACAGCTGGGATTCTGAATAAGAGAAGTCTTTCAATGAGATACATTTGTGCAAGATAATATGGACTGCAGGGAGGCAGCAGTCGCCTTCCTGCTGCACTGACTGCTGCTAAGTAAGCTCTAGGGGGCAGCTGTTTGTATCAGTGCCTGGACCCCACCTTCCACTTTCCAGGTGCCACTTTGGAGTGTGAGAGGCGTCAGGGACAGGAACAGTGCAGAGGGTGAAGACAGCACTTTCCTG